ACCATAAGGTTCAGCGCTTAATAATAGTCATAGGGGACAAATAAGCAATCAAATCATACTAGAAAACAATCAATATAAATCGTAAGGATACAAGCAACAAAGGTACAGTCATAAGTGGGGGGAGATGGCTGATAGGAACGATGAGAAAATTAATAGTAATAGTAATGCAGACTTTGTAAATAGTTTGACAGTATTGAGGGAAATATTTGTTTAGCAGAGTGATGGCGTTCGGGGAAAAACTGTTCATATGTTTATAGTCAGTGCTAAAACCTAAAATTGAGGGCATGCAGTCTTGCTTAACAACCTGCAGTGATTTGCTTAACAACTGCAGCTGAAGTGATGATATAAATACATCAGAGTCATGAAATGTGTCACTTAAGGAATTGTGTCACTTAGCAATGGAGTTGCTGTCTCTAGTTTTGCTTGTTAAAGAGGACTCATGTGTATGCCAGATAAAATAAAACAATTTATTTAGGAAAGACATGTTGGCTCTTTCCCATAACAAAGATATTTTTTTTCTAATTTTGGAAAATGAAAGGAAAGAATCCAAGGAATTGAGGTGACCTCTATAAAGAGGAGAGATATTTTCGTGTGTGAGCACCTTACTTATGGAATTATTTCATCAGAACGGCTTGACTGGTGCCTATATTAGCTTTATTGCATTGCTTTGCATTGCATTGCATTTCAATAAATTAAACAAACAAACAAATTTCCCTGCCAGGTGAAGACTTCTTCACTTTCCCAGCTTTTTCATCCTGGTTTTAATTGTACTTTAATAATGCATATTACTTTAGATTTTGAGTTACTGATTTGCAGCTGCCTAGTTTATGTAGTGTTTTTATTTTACATTTTGCTGTGTATGCTTTTACTTAAATTGCATTTTTTGGAAGGATTTTAGTAGGAACTGTCCATATAGCTTTGGCTGTTGAATAGTTTTTAAAAACCAAAATAATTAAATAAGCTCGCGTTTAGTGCCACAGTGCCTAGTGGAATAAAGCTATTTAATTCTCTCTTTGTTTTCTTTCAGATTGAAGCTTATGTACTGGTGAGTATCTCTCAAGACCCAAACTATTAGAGTATTTTCTTCAGGGGTGTCTACAGAGGCATTGATAAAATCAAGACGGAAGGACACCCCCCCTTCCCCCTTTTTAAAGTATTGTATGTGCAATGCCCATAAAAAAGGGATGAGGTCTTGATCGCAAAATGCCATGTTGACTTTTTTGACCTTTATGGGTGCCCTGATTTCTCCCCTCTACACACAGACACACACACGATACTTTCAAAATTCTATAAAAGTTGTGCTTGAGGAATTAATTTTCCTGCTAAAAGATTAATGAACAGAACGACCCAATTACCTTCACTATCATTTTCAAGGAATTGCTTGGCACAGGCCTGTGATGGTGAAACGCTTGGGCTCGGCGTGTCAGAAACTTGGAAAATGCCTAATTTGATTCTGCTAACATGGGACCCCCTGAACTTAAGAGAAACAATTCTCTATCTTCTCCGCCCCCCCCCCCCAACCTTATCTAAGCTACCCTGAGTAGCGGCAGTTGGCAGTTGGCAGATTTGGCCTGAAGTAGATGGAGGCCTGGTCATTGACTTCAGCCCTAGCCTCACCAACTGCCATTCAAAAAGGCCACCTCGCACCATTCCACGAAGTGTGCGGTTTACCGTTGGATAGTGTTCTCTTTCTGTTGAGAGGCCCCTGCAGCCTACCTGAGGCTGCTCCAGGTCCCATGAGGACTTTGTCTCTAAAGTAGCTTGGAGAAGACTTTTCCGTGGCCTCTATAGCCTCTGAAAATTGAATGAAAGCATGCCCCATTCTCATGTGATTTTTCCAGAGAGTCCAGAGTCCTCACAAGAGCACTTGCTCTCTCTCTCTCACACAACTTCCAGAACATCCAGAGGCTGCACAAGAACAGACCTCATTCTTACGTGGCCTCCACATCTCCAATTCTTACGTTGCCTTCACAACACAAAATCACAAGACTATGGGCATGCTTTCAAGGATAGTTTAATGTTCTGAACTGCTCAGAGTCACCTCGTGGCAAGATGGGTGGCAAGCAAATTTAATAAATAAGTAAAATAGTTGTTGTTGGGTGCCTTCAGAAGTAGTGGATGTTCGATCAGTGGAGGTTTTTAAGAAGGGACTGGACAGCCATTTGTCTGAAATGCTGTAGGGTCTCCTGCTTGAGCAAGGGGTTTGACTAGAAGATCTCGGAGGTCCCTTCCAACTATGTTATTATGTTATTCTGAATGCTGCCACGTCACCAAAACATTGTCATAGGTTCACCTTCACTTCATTCAGTTAAAGAAAGAAACATGGCATATATGATGAGTTTCTGTTTATATATAATAAGATATTAGAGTCAAGTAAATATAAACCTGGTTTGCATGTTAACATTGTGTGCCAAAATTTCCTTAATTATAATTCATCTAAAAAAGCGTTAGTTGTCTCTATTCATCTATGCTGTGCCATGGTTTATAAATGTTAGTGACTGGGCCCACTTAGCCCACTAAGCAAAAATTGTGATGTATTTTTATTATTTATTTATTATTACCATGTTCCCCTGAAAATAAGGCAGGGTCTTATTTTCTTTTGACCCCCGAAATAAGTGCTTGGCCTTATTTTCGGGGAGATCTTATTATTTTTGAAGTGCAGGAGGCAGCGAGTGTGGTCACTTCACGGCTGATGCTGTGTTACAATATTTTTGGGGAGGGCTTATTTTCAGGAGAGGGCTTATTGTAGCGCATGCGCTCAAAAGTCCAATTGGGCTTATTATATGGGAGGTCTTATTTTTGGGCAAAGGGTAGACTTTGATGCCACCAATCTCATTGAGCCAATTTGTGAAATTATACATATTCCGGTTCTGGGGAATTGTTTTTACATTTTCAAATGGTGTAGTAAGAAAGATATTCAGATATTGGTAACTAAGACCAATATAAGAAATGCATCTCTTTTCATAGGATCCCCGAGGGTCTCGGATGGTAGAATGGAAAAACCTCAAGCCAATTTGTTGTGGTGAGTTTTAGACTGTCACAACTGAGCATCCCACTGCCCAGAGCTTCAAAGAGAAAGGGTGAGAGGCAAATTGTTTAAAGAAATAAGGATGAATCCTTTGGCTCTTCTATTTTCTGGTTGTGATCCCTTAAGGAAATTGGGCCACCAATGTAGCTCATCTCCTCTGATCTTCCTTTTCTTTGGCAGGCATCCTGAACATGAGCTTCCCTTTGTCTGATCAACCAGTGTTCGGAGAATGGTTTATATTTGTAGAAATGCAAGAATACACATATAACAAATCATTTGAAGTTCAAAAATATGGTGAGTGAATAGCAGAGCTGCTAGAACTTGTTTTGAAAACACACTATTTTTGAGATGTCATAATCATGTTTGAATGAGTCCAGAGATTAGGTGTTTCAGTGGAGTAGGATCAAAACCATCAAAAAGGCAGCTGGGGCCATGCAGTTGAAGCCCCCCGTATAGATGTTCCTATATAAACAGTTTCTGGAAAAAGTTGTTGAGTTGGTGGTGCTCAGGTTACTATTATTGCACTTACTATGGTTGTCAGTAATATGTATATTCATTCATATTCAGACTTAGTATGGTGGACAAATAAGGAATAATTAAAGCCATCCAAACAATTAAAAAGTTAAATGGCTACTCAAATCTTTGTTGAAAAGTCAAATGACTATTCCAGATCTGGACACCCTAACTATTAATGGACATCACCATCCTGACCTGTGATGGCAATGTACATCATCACTTATTCTTATTAATATTCTTATTAATATCTTTATTACTTAGATTCTGCTTAGGCAGGAAACCCTCTTCTTAAAAACTTCCAGTGTTGGAGCATTCACAACTTCTGGAGGAAGTTGTTCCACTAATTAATTGTTCTAACTGTTAGGAAATTTCTCTTTAGTTCCAAGTTGCTTCTCTCCTACCCATTTAATATCCTCTAGACTTTTATAAACTTCCATGTTAGAAAGGCTTGCTTTGGAAATCAACAGTTTTGGAAAAGTGCTACAAATAACCTCATGAAGTTGTACCAGATTTTAAAATCCATTTATTTTTTGCATAAACCATGAGTAATATCTGATTGCTTTTTATTAGTTGTGTAAACTTGTCTCGATATCTAGTTATTCCATTCCATTCTATGCTTCTTTTATCATTTCCAAATGGAGATTATAACATCCACTTTCCTCTGTATTATTTTCCATATCTTTTCCAACCTTATTTCGTTCAAAAGTCCATTTCTGAAACTAATTTAGTTCCTCAGTGTGCAGCCTTGCACACTTGAAATAGCTTAGAATCTGAAATCAGAATTTCAGAACCCCAGACAATAGGAGAACCATTTAAACCTTGCTTTTTAAGAAAGGCCTAAAAGGGGATTTATGATTATTTTGAACCTTAATGTAAGCTTGAATCTTCTGTCTCAGTGGCCTTGTTTTTATAGTAACTTTTGTTACGTTTTATTTTGTACCATATAAGATTTTAGAATTTCAATCCTTTTATTTTAAAAGAACATGTGCATATCTTTTGAAGTAGCTCTGCTGAATTGAAACGGAAAAAAAAGGAAGGAAAGAAGGAAAGAGGGAAGGGAAAGGAAAGGAAGAAATTCTTTCAGTCACACCAACATGTAAATATGCCATACTATATGAAGTATCATCAAGTGTCCAAGCCCTGCTTGAGGAACATGAGGAGTGCAAACTTAGTATCAGAATTATTATAAATAAATAATTTCAGCAAGCTGGAAATACAGGTAGTCCTCAACTTACAACCACTATTGAGCCCAAACTTTCTGTTGTTAAATGAGACATATGTTAAGAGATCTTTGCCTCATTTTATGACATTTCTTGCCACAGTTGTTACACAAATCATTGCAGTTGATGAGTTAGTAACCTGGTTTTTAAGTGAATCTGGCATCCCCATTGACTTTGCTTGTCAGAAGGTCGCAAAAGGTAAATCACATGACCTTGGGACACAGCAGTGATCATAAAAAGGAACCAGTTACCGAGCATCTGAATTTTGATCACATAGTCATGAGGATGCTGCAAAGGTTGTAACTGTGGAAAATGGTCATTTGTCACATTTTTCAGTGTTGTACCTTTGAATGCTCAGTAAATGAACTGTTGTAAGTTGAGGACTACCTGTTATATCCTGAACACTTCATCCCCTTACTAAAATTAAAATCAGTCAGGAAATGAAGGATCTTTCAAAGTAACACATTTTATTAAAATGCAGAAGCTTTCATGAATTACACCTTGCTTTCTTTGTTCCATAGAGTGGCTACTACATTCATTCTGATTGTTGGCTCATGTTGATTAATGCGACTCTCCTCCCACACTGTTTATTACTGAATGAAGGCTCATTTTTCATGAGTGACCAATTGTTTAGTCCAAGACCTTTTCAGGTTATGTTTGATGGATTCCACAAGAACTTGATTGGAGGGAGAGAAAGTTCGCTTACACACAGCCAATTTTCCATCATTAGAGCTTTGCCTTTTGATTGGGTGTTCTGGGAACTTTTTCTTTATTTAAATTTTTAATCAAATATTTAAATTTAATTCAGTCTTGAAATCTGAAGAAGCTTGAAGGTCCGTGGTCTAGAAGTGTTTTCAAACTTCGCAACTTTAAGATGTGTACTTCAGCTCCCAGAATTCTCCAATCAGCATGGGGAGCTCAAGTACATATACTTTAAAGTTGCCAAGTTTGAAAAACACCAGTCTAACGTATCAGTCAAAACAGGGAGAATACTTCCATTAGGCTGAGCACTTTATTTCACATCATTTGAAGCTTTTTGAGGGAAAAAATAGTTGTATTTAACATCATTTTAAAAAGTAAACCAGCACACCATTTGAAATTATTCCATGGGAATTTGGCAGCAATAAGCCTCCTAAACATGACGTTTTCAGTTTTACTTCCCCCACCAAAATAAAAAATCAAATTGTTACGCCAACTGAAAAAAATCAGGCTTGATCCATTTTTGGGTGGGAGGGTAAGGCATTGTAATTAGCTGCTATGAAAAATAAGTGATCCAGCCAGAAGTTATAAACAGTTGAAAAAAAAGTTACCCTTTAGCTGGATTACTGTCATGTTACAGCTCAATTATTTCTTGTAGTTGTGAAACATGTTAAAAACAAGACAATTCAAAAAGATTAAAACAGGAATGGAAGAGTTGGACTTTGTGAATAGAGGATTCCTTTAATGTGTGATTCCTTTAATGAACCATTACATTTTGTGGATTTTTTTTAATGAATCATTTTTGGAATTCTATTTCCAGCTATGCTATGGGATAGTATCAAACTGGATTACCCAAATAGATAGCTGATTGCTAGGGATATATTTAGTTTACTGTGTAGACACTGGTTAGGTTTTCCACTTTGAGGGTAAGATGTCCAGAAGTTCCATGTCTATTATAGATCTCTTTATATTATAGATCTCTTATGGATCTCTCCACTCTTTTTTCAGTCCTCATTACTCATTTCTCAGTTCAACTGCTTTCTTACTTTTAGGTTAAGATTTCCTGATAGCCTTACTCATGCCACTTCTTATCACAATCAGATTTCCACATTGTTCTCGCTCACTTTTCCCTCCTCTTTTTAGTTTTACCCAGGTTTGAGCTGCGTATTGATCCACCACAATACATTCGGGACTTTGGGTTTTGTGAAAAGGGAACCGTCCACGCCAGGTAGGAACGATCGGTTCCTTCTGCTCACTTGAGTAGCTTCCTGCTATTTCTGTTGACATCCCTGTGATTCTTCTGAACTCTATAGTTTGAACAGGTTTTTGTGGAATGGGCAATCATGGATAATCATTTTGTCACTGAACTTGAGATAGAGAACTTTCAAGAGCCCTCTTCCCACAGAGGCAATGTGTTGGGGTCACGTGGGCTGTGCTGAAGCCAACAACAGTTGTTGGTAATGACAAAAATAAGTTAAAGCAGCCCTTTTCTGACACATTCTTGTTTCACCCTTAGGATTTTTTTCTGGGTGTCCTTCTCAGCATTGGATGGGCTGCCTTTAATCTTTTATTTCTCCTTCTAACAGTACTGCTGAGTTTGATTCAAAGGGTGGCATGGAACAAATGTAGTTTGCTGTCAAAACTCAACTGCTAGGCAAATTGGGTACACGATTCCCAGTTGTGGCTCCCTTTAATTTCTGCAAGGAGGGTTGGGGAGCTTTGCTCTGAATGCGAAAGTTTTCAGCCTTTTCTGGGCACCTTTAATGAAAAGGTATCTTGGCAACAGGCCTGGAGACTTTCTGGAGGAACATAGCAAGGTACAGGAGTTTGCTAAAATCAGTGACTCAGAGTATCTGACATGGTCTTAGAAAGCTTTGCATGCATGTAATTAAGCTTGGAAATGAAAGAGCAATAGCTAAAAATAATAATTGTTGAGCTTCTGTTCCAGGTACACATTTGGGAAGCCAGTGACAGGGAAGCTGACCATCAACATGACAGTAAATGGAGTGGGGTACTACAGACACGAATCAGGGCATCCTGTCCTTAAAACCACTGAAGTGAGTAAGGGGATTACGGTAAATAACAAGGGGGGGGTACATTTTGGTGACTGCGAAATAATATTTAACAGTTTTAAAGAAGATTACAACTCCAGTGGATCACATGGTCATATAACATGGGTGAAGCCAGGCCACATCCATGGATTAGACCAGTGGTAGTCAACCTGGTCCCTACCACCCACTAGTGGGTGTTCCAGCTTTCATGGTGGGCGGTAGGGGTTTTGTCCGATATTGAAGCACTTTCCTTTTTTTTAATTTAATTGACATTAAAAAAATCATAGCCTTATTTAAAAATTTTCATTAGGTTTTCATAAAATCACCATTACTGTGGAACCGGTGGGCGGTTAATTTTTTTTACTACTAACAGAGATACAAAAGTGGGCGGTAGGTATAAAAAGGTTGACTATCCCTGGATTAGACTTTGGTTCACTTTTTGAATGGGTTTCTAGGTATATTTAA